GAATCTCATAGTCTATGTATAATTGATCTTTGGCAAATTGTTATTTGGTAGTATTTGTTTCAAGGATGCTTCTATAAAATTTCTCTATACCAGTAGGTAGAAGAAATCCTAAAGGTAATAATTTCAGAGCCTTTTCTTTTCCAGCCAGTGCTGTCCTCCTAATTCTATAGCTTCCAAGGGCTCACCAAGAAGGTCTTTAAATATGTATGTATGTGCATATGCATGCGTGTTTGTGTATACATGCCAAAGAGACATATTTTAGGCAGCAGATTTTGCTTGCCTATAACGTGTAAGCAGTACTGTATTTATCCTAGTAGTGAAATACAGATTTGATGGATTTAAACTGCCAATAGAGCTCTAGCAATTGAATAACAAAAAACTGTAGTAAGAATAATTTTTAAAAAATGCAGTAGAGTGGAGGATCATAGGGGAAGGGAAGGAAAATTGAATAGGAAGTCATCAGAGAGGGAAGCAAACCATGAGAGACTATTAACTATAGGAAACAAACTGAGGGTTGCTGGAGAAGAAGTGGATGGGAGGATTGCATAACTGGGTAATGGGCATTAAGGAGGGCATGGGATTTGATGAGCACTGGGTATTATACACAACTCATGAATTATTGAACACTACATCTGAAACTAATAATGTCCTATATGTTGACTAATTGAATTTAAATAAAAAAAAAACACAGAAAAAGGAACAGGGAGCATTCAGTGTAAGTTAAATGTTAACACACATAACAGAACATGATTTGGATCATACTCAGGGGATAAAGGAGGCCGAACCTTGGTAATGTCTCAGGGAAACCTGGGCTGTAGTGGCTGGTTGGTCCAGTGGCAAGCTACAGTCAGCAAGAACCATTTTGGAAACATAGATCCTCTCCATGAGCAAATCTTTTTACTGTTCTTGGAGGAGAGTCAGTTGCAAGTTCTTTAGCCAAACCATCGTGGAGTTAAAGTGGGACAGAGCTGAGGAACAATAAGCCCAGTTGTTGAAACACTCTGAACTCTGACTCTGCCAAGTAAGTAGGTTTCATAGCTGTTACATGGCCAATGGCTAATAAAGATGCTAAGCAATAATGACAGTTGTAGCTAACGTGGTTTTAATAATTGTTTAGGTACCATATAGTTGTTTAAAACCATTTTCGCACATTAATTTATTTATTCTTCACAACAGCTGACTGAAGTACATAACATTATTATTCTCATCTCATACGTGAGGAAAATGAGTCACAGAAATATTAAAAAAATTTAAAGGGTATCTGGTCTCTTGTAACTAGAAAGTCAAGGAGCTAGGAAGCAGACTGCCGCCCCTAACACTGAAATGTACCCAAACTAAGTGTTAAAGACTACAGAAACATGAACAACCTCAAGAGAAGACATTATCATATTCTAGACTATTAGAATCAGTATATTATGTACTCTAAAAGAATTTGTTTTAGGAGACAATAAAGAGAATCCTGCTTCAGACAGTTGAAAGTATGACTCATGAAAGTTATTATCCCAAGAAACATAAAAGGTAGAATCCACGTTTTTTTATAGCAGGAAATTTAAGATATCTCTAGATTTATTTGCCTTTGGTGAGAAATTTGTTCTATTACTGGTTATAAACCCACATATCAGCATGACCATCCCATTTGACTGGGTGAATATACCTTGAATTTTTAAAATAGCAAGAGAGAAAGTATCCTATAGTGAGGAATGATTGTAGATGTAAAATGATATATATGATACATATGTATAAACATTCCTCACTAGAGGTACATATTTATAGATGCTTTTGGAGTCTCAAAGGAAATTTTCTTTAATATACAGTCTTAGAATCTTTGATTGCATTTACCCTTTCATTTCTTCATCTGGAGAAAGAATTTAGACTACTTCAATGTGATGGCAGCAACTGTCTGCAGACACTTCATGATTCAGCCTTTCCTTTGTGTGATTTCTGTGGCTTCACCTAAGTCACTGAAATTAGAGGCTCCCAAAAACAGACAGTTGGGAAGCACTTGTGCTTGGTGAGGAATGATACTGGTTGAATTGTATGCCAGGATGAGTTACATATTCCTTCATGCTGCCTCCATAGGCAGGCAAGACATTCTATTTTTCATTTCCCCTGGTCAGTTGTGAACTTCTGTCTGTTTAAGTCAGTATTTCCTTCAATATTGATTAATAGAATTCTGCTGCTAATAAAGGGTACACTAAAAGGATTGAGTAAATACTACAGCCACTAAAAGACAAATGATTTTCAAATATGTATTTGTAGATACCCACTCATTTCTTTTTCCGCTATTGATTTTGGAGACAAAGGAAAGTCTCATGAATTCCATAATCATTTTGTTTTCTTTATCCAGATTAGTAAATGCAAGCAACCTAGCTGGAGTGGAGATGGGGAGGAAATGATATCAGTTATCTATCAAGATATAGTGTTGTATAATGCAAAATTTTAGTGACCTGAACCAATATTTATTTAGCTTACATATTTGTGGAATGGTCTTTACTTACCTCATTTGGTCTGTGATCAACTGCATGTTATCTGTGTATTCCTGCTGATTTTAGATGAGCTCACTCACAGGTCCAGGTGGTTATCATTGGATGATCTACTTTGGCCTTGGCTCTGATGGTAGGGATTACTCATTTACACTTGTATCTCATCCTTCAGCAGGCCAGGCTGAGTGTATTCATGTATCTACGCAGAGTAGCAAAAGAAGCAAAATTCAAAACATTTCAGTCTTCTGCTTGTGTCTCATTTGCTAACATTTCATCGACTAGAGCCATACACATGGGGTCAGACCAAGATTCAGAAGGCTCAGCAATACCACATGGCAAAGGCAAGGATACAAGGAGGGATAAAGAATTAGGATCATGCAGGGGAGGAAAAATAATTTTCCTTCTACCTGTCTAGGTTCTTGGATGAGACCCCACCCCACTCCAATAAAGACATATGAACAAGAGAAAAACCAAACAGGTTTAATAACCTGTATGCCTCCTGTATAGAGATATCCAGGAAAACCTAGTAACTCCCTGAAATGGCCCAAATACCATCTTAAATACCATCATCAGCTAAAGACAAAAGAAGATGTTGGGGAAGAGACAGGGAGGCCAGTTATGGAAGGTTACCAGGAAAAGCACAGTAAACGAGGGTAAAGCTGTTACATAAATGTAAGTCCTTGCTTCTCCACTGATAAGAATTTCTTAATATTTAAAGTTTTTTTTAAGATGTTATTTATTTATAATGAGAGACACACAGAGAGAGGCAGAGACATAGGCAGAGGGAGAAGCAGGCTCCCCGAAGAAAGCCCAATGCAGAACTCGATCCCAGGACCCCAGGATCATGACCTGAGCCAAAGGCAGGTGGTCAACCACTGAGCCACTCAGGCGTCCCAAGATTTAAAATATTCTTTTCTTCCAGATTCAAAGAAAGAGGTACCTGTTACAAATGGAGATTTCCCTTATTAATGTCAATGTCTCTTACAAAAGGAGAACTTCCACTTAGTTTTCAGAGCTTTTTTTTTTTTATGTACTGTTTCTCAAAAATAATCAGCCTAAATTAATCCTTATGCCAAAGAGGCATATTCCTCAGGAGTATAGTCTGCTCCCCTTCAACCATTAATACAATTAATCTTTAGAAGAACACATTTTCCCAGGGAGTTGGGAAGGAAAGGGGTTCATTTTAGTTTTCAGATTATAAACTTACACATTAATATTTGTAATAAACTAGCAACAAAAAATCCTTCCAGCCATGTTAATGCACTAAGTTTTTTAAGGCCAGTGTAGCATTATTTTTATTAATTCATTTTTAAATATTTGTAGTAACAACAAGCAATTTTTATAGGCAAGTAGGGTTGAGGAGGGGTCATCAAATTTGAAAGAATAAGTTTCTCCCTGTAATGTTTTAAGACTATCAAATAAGTTTCCTTAAATCACCTAGGACCACCACATCCCTCTCCCACCCCTCGCTACCATAGTCCAGGATTCATTTGTTAGAGCCATATCTTTTGACTGTATTTTATCATGTGGGCTCATTTGATATTTAAATAATTGTCCTCCCTGGGATACTGACTAGATTTCACTGGGAAATTGGAGTGAAGGGGGTTCAATGGACAATCAACTTCTAGCCTTTTTGAAATTGTAGAGATTAATGAGAAAAAAAAAACCTGATTTGGTTGTAATTAGCAAAATAACTCCCTTTTTTAGAAGGCAGCTCTTAAGGATCTCTCTCCAAAAATAGAATCTTACAGTTTCTACTGTGAAAACATAGTTACTTTGAGGGGGAAATATTTACCTACATACAAATACTGGCTATGAATATGTTTTTAATGTGAAAAGGCAAAATTCAACTGAGTACATTTTAAAGATCTTATTGGCTTTATTCAAGAAATCACGAATCAAGCAGCAGCTTCTCAGGTAGAAAAGAGATCTGAGGATGTTTGCAAATGGGAGGCTTCTATAGCAGAAGGGAGAGGGAATAAGAAAGTCATAGTGGCAAATAGTTGATTGGTTGTGGCAAGGTTACTTTTCTTAAGGGGGTGGCAGGGGTATATCAGGTAAATTACCTCTCTAGTGCTGATCGGGTGACTCCTGATTGGCTGGTTTAAAATTCCATTTCTGGAAGAACCAAACTTGTAATTAAGTTAGGTTTTGTTTTGGGGACAGGGAGCTTAGCATAGGTGACTCCATTTTCGACCTGTTGTCTGGTTTTTAGCATTAATATAACTGGAAGGACTCAACATCCCCTCTTTACTTCTCAGGCAAGTTCACATTCTGCTTCAGCTGATTATTTTTTCAACAATATTTTTTTTTGCATTCTTTTATGGTCTGCCAGTACTTTTTTGAAACCCAGTTAGAATAGCAGCCAACATAATTGAGACTAAAAGGGGGCCAAATATCTCTCCAGAAGCAAGACAACTTCAAAAGATAGGCATTACAAAGCACTACTGTGACTCAAATAATCACTTGTTTTTAAGGGGGATTTGCTAATATAGAATTGGTTTCTTATCTTCCCAGCCCCTAGTGAGCCTTTACTGTGCAAATTCGCTGATGGAGGACAAAAGAAGCGACAGAATCAAAGCAAATACACCCAGAATGGAAGGCCTTGGCCCAGGGAAGGAGAGGTGAGTTCTGACTGACTTTTGCTCAGAAATATAGCAGCAGACATCCCTTGGAATGGAGGCAAGACAGACATTTGGGACCCTGATGAAATAGGGTCCTGTAGAAAACCACATGGCTTCAAAGAGGGCAAATGAGTAGGCCTGTATTAACGCATTCAAGATAAAACTACTTGAAGAGGACTGTAGGATTTCAAAATTGACCTCAGTTCTGTACTACAATAAGTCCTCTGTCTTTAACCAAACCTTTACCCAATATACACTCACTGAAAGACTTATCCACAAAGAATTAATCCATAATTGTATCATAGATAAAAAAAAATATTTTCAGTGAAATCAATGGTGAGAGTTGAATATTTGTGTTTGGAAAACAACACAAATTTAGATTTACTTTATTCTACCATTGAAATACTCTACTTGCACATATATGTGTATTTATGCATTTGCCCATTTGTTCATAAATGTATTGATATGTATTTTATATATTAATATAAAATATGACATTTTCTGTTGGGCAAAAAGGAGAAAAGTTCATACAGAGGGTTCCATTTTTCACAACAAAAAGAAAAGCACTGAACAGTTAATTATCCATTTACCCTCTAAACACAAAACAGTAGAAAAGCAAGTTTATGCATCCAGTGACACTTGGGAATGAATTCCTTTGGGTTATTTGTGTTGTAAGAAGACAAGGAAAAGGTATCTAGGCTTCTAAGAGGTATTTTTATTCTTTGTGGGATGGAATGGAGTTGTCTGAATGACTTGAATAAATGCTATTTTGTACCAAGGCCATAATTTCAACAGAAGAGCTTTATTTCATATTTCTATTCAAAGCACCTACTTCATCCATTTCTCATTTAAGAGGCATCCCACTTGATGCAGCATTTTATGCTTTCAGTACTGAGACAACAGTTGTAAGGAAAGAAAAGAAGATAGGGAATTCCTCAGCAAAACCCTTAGCCATTTTTTAAATTTCCAACACCGTTGTCTGTTTTGAGTATTTCCATGCAGGTCTCAAGACCCCTCTTAAAGTGAATAGTTATGTTCAAGTATTTTATAATCTATAACTCATTATTTTATGACATGAAAAAGAGAACCACTACTAGACGTTTGAAACTAATGAAAAGAAAGGTTTGAATATTTCAACTTTAGAAAAGGCAATCTGTGCTATGTTCAAAAAAGGAAGAGGAAAGGCAATTACCCTTGGTAGGGGGGGTCATTGGTAGGGGTAGGGGTTAGTGATCAGCAGTTAGCTCCCAGAAGACAGCTGGTTTCTCAAAGCACTCATTATGACATCCATCCCATGCAGGACATCTGTAGTCTAGAAAGACTCATTTGATCTTTTAAAGTTCTCTTGTGTCAAATGTTTGCTGGGAGACATTTCTGGATCATAGACCATCACCAAGCAGCCTTGATGGTCAATTAGGTGACTTGGCAGTAACGACCGAAACCTCAGTTTTTGTCCACATAAGAACCTATTTTATCACAGCCACAAAATAGATGCCACCTTCAGCAAGACACCACCCTTGAATCTACATTTCTTAGGAACCAAACCAATAAACATAAAAGAAAAGTAGACTTAGAGCTACTAATTTGCTACTGCATACCAATCTAGGGCTTTGGGTTGAGATCATGATAAAGAGCATGTGTACTATTGCCATAGAAGCATTGTGGAGAGTTAGCACCCAGAATATCTTCTAATTTACATGTAGGTTTTAAACATATATTCCTAATCTCTATTTTTCAAAAATTATTTTTTAAGAGAAACATTTCCTGTTAAACTGTGAAAATCAAGGGACCTTCATACATTTATCTGTGACCCATAAAAAAGGAATTCCAAGTGTGTAGACACATTCAGAGGAAAGAAATTAGGAAAAGAAGTGGCATGCATTACAAATATGTTTGTCAGATATCTTGGTTTTGAGAGATAAGCATGTAAATTTTTATACCTTGATTGTGGTCTTAGGTGTAGACACTCTGAATGTTGGGTAACTTTGCCCATCATAGTGTATATTTTTGCTTCTATTTCCTCTTGTAGTGCACTTGCTAGAGCACATTATATTAGCATGGCTGATAAAGTATGGCATAATGCAGATTATTCCTATGTAAGCAATATTTAATTAATTTTTATATACCAGGAAATGCTAATAATTGTATTTTGTTGTCTCTAAGACATGTTTTTGTTGTTGTTTTTCCACATTTTAACACTTCTGAAATTGGTTTTCCTCTTATAATCAGTGGCATTATTACAAGACAATTTGCATTTGCTCCTATTAGTCACCTGGGGGGACTACCTACATTCTCTCTCTTAGGTCTTTGACCACAGTGACTGAATGAATTTAAACTAACCAAAACAAGGCCTATTGGGTCAGATCCTTGGGAGAGATTTTCTTTGTGCCCTTCTTTCATCCCATGTTAAGACTGAGATATGATCTTCCCTTGAAGTCCATTTCTAATGGGTGGTCTTGTTTTTTATTTTCTTTGTAGCCCATTATAAGAAGGGCTTTATAAGAAGCTTCATAAGAACTTTATAAGAAGTTCTCAACTTTACAAGATCATTTTGGATGTTTTTGCTTGCTTGTTTGCTTGTTGGTTTTTGTTTTGCTTTTTGGGGTTTTTGGTTATATAAAATAATGGTAAACCTTTCGATCACTGTTGCCTTTGATAAAATACAAGATGATAATTTTGATTCTGATGCTTCAGCATTTGGGATAATAACACAGAATGAGGCTCATGCTTTCTTTGTCTCTCTCTTGAAAGTCAGGTAAAAAAAAAAAAAAAAAAAAAACAAGTTTGGAAAGGATTTCTCCTGAAATGTTTAGGTATCTTAGAAGCACCTAAAGCATGACAGTTGATAAGCTAATTAAAGTTTTAATTTATTATGTAAAGCTATTTTCTTCTGAGTGGCATTTTGATAACAGCTCTTTTAGCATTAGTGAAATGTACTTCTTTACAAAAGAGATCTAGTACTGAAAACTTTATACACATAAATTAGTGTAAATTAGCAAGGTTTTGCAATACAAATATATGCTACTGGACATGTATTTGCATAAGTGAAATACACAGGGATATTTAAAAATTATTAACTAATCTCTCAAGTGACAACAAAACTAAGCAGAAGGATCAGGGATTGGAGCTATTAGGCCTCTTTTACCCAGTTCTCTACAGTTCTTATCATTTTATTTCTTAGTGTAGCATTTCACATACTCTTTGATCTCAGTATCTCAGTATCTCCCTTTATACTCTTAAAAAATATTGTTTATTAGTTGATCAAAAAACAATAAGCCCATCCTATGTTAACAAAAATATCATATGTATATAGAAAATATTATATCTTTCAAAGCCTTTTTTTTTGAGAATGGTATTCTTTTACTTTTTTGCAAATCACTTTAATGTCCGGCTTAATAAAAGATGGCCAGATCTGCATCAGTATACAACCTGTTGCAATATTCTGTTTGGTATAATCATATGAAGAAAATATAACTCCATATAGACATGTCACTGGAAAGGGGAGGACCTATTGATCTCCTAAAAGTCTCTCAGGAACCTTCAGGTTTCAGACTACAATTTGAGAACCACTGTCCTAGAGATGCTTGAGCCAAGCATGGGGCTCATATTCAGCTTCCATATATCAGAAAAGCCACTCTGCTTGTTAAAATAGTAAAACATATTTGTTTCATTAGGTAAATAACTGCTGGCATTAGTCCATCAGTGCAACCCCTCCAACTCTGATGCCTCCTGCAGTACCTCTTACTATCTTATAAGAATGGGGTGCTGGCTGGTACAACAAGGAGTTTCCCAGGATCTACTCCAACATTTAAATTCTGATTGGCCAAAGTTTATGCCATAATGGTGATCAAATGTTTGTTTTTTTTTTAAAGATTTTATTTATTCATGCATGAGAGACACAGAGACAGAGAGAGGCAGAGACACAGGCAGAGGGAGAAGCAGGCTCCATGCAGGGAGCCTAATGTGAGACTCCATCCTGAGTCTCCAGGATCACGCCCTGGGCCAAAGGTGGCGCTAAACTGCTGAGTCACAGGGGCTGCCCTGTGATGAAATGTTTTTAATGTCACCTCTAGCTCAGAAATGGTCTCACTTTATCATCACTATGACTTTCAAGAAATGCATTGACTAGATATCCCATTATAGCTGAGGCCATATTCTTTACTGCAGGCAAAATGTTTCCCAAATTGATCTTGTTTGTGGTCTCTCAAATGACTGGTCTGAAATCAGGAGTGGAATCTGGAATCCAGAATCAAAAATATATCAGGAGTCAGGCACCTGGGTGGCTCAGTGGTTGAGTGTCTGCCTTTGGCTTGGGTCATGATCCCGGGGTCCTGGAATCAAGTCCTGCATCACGCTCTTTGCAGGGGAGCCTGCTTCTCCCTCTGCCTATGTCTCTGCCTCTCTCTGTGTGTCTCTCATGAATAAATAAATAAAATCTAAAAAAAAAAATGTATCAGGAGTCATGTGAAGAAAAGACATGGCATAAAGAATCTAGTCAGTGGTATTACCATAGCGTTGTATGGTGACAGATGGGAGCTATGTGTGTGGTGAGCATGACATAACTTACAAACTTGTCAAATCACTATTGTATACCTGAAACTAATATAACATTATGTGTCAACTCTACTTAAAAATATTAAAAATAAACAAGCAAATTAACAAATATATTTTCAATAATATATGTAATTACACACACAAACACACATATAATATCAGGAACATGAAGAAGAACTGTTGCTTCTTCCTGTATTTCCAAACAATGCTTTCCCAATGACCAATGAAAAAAACACCAAATTTGTTTGGTACTCACATAATTTGCACAGCTGATCAAAAACATTCAACTATGTTGTAAAGATGAATGGCTCAAATAAAAGGATGAATTTTTCTACTACAATGATTAGAGTCACTCAAACTTTGAAATTACTTTATGTTGACATTTATTGTGACTAGTTACTGGATTTCCTTCAGAATTTTCAAATATAAGTAAATGCTGAGTGTCA